ACACCAATGGAATTGCACATACCGGCCACCACAGCCGCACCTCACGGAGCACCCGTAGCCGTTGCTGGCGCATCCACACCCGCCAATTCCCCCGCCTCGAAGTTGGCACCGCCCCCCGCGGCATTCACAGGGTTTCCGCCGGACGGCCCAGGTGTATTCGGGCTCGGGCTCCAACCCTTGCTCGAGCGCGGCGGCCTCGTGCGCCGCGTGCTGCGCGTCGGATGGAGTCCAGTTCGACACCGGCGGGGGCTCAGAGGAGTAGACCCAACCGTACCCCCGACTGCGACACGCGATGGGTACGATTAGTATTTGCGAGTTTCAGCGGGGAATAGAACACCACGAACTTGCAGCCGAAGCACATATGGGCGTAGGGTTGGCGGCGGCCTGTCCTGTCAGTGTCGTCCGCGATGCATCTTCCTGTAGCGGGATCGAAGGACCACCCGCCCTCCCGCGTGATGCGTCCTTGCGCGTCGCGCACGATTGGGCGCTGGAATTCGTAGAAGGATTGGGTAGTCCCGCATGATTCGCATTGGATAATTGCCATGAGACCGCGTGTCTGGATTTTCGACGAGGATCGCGGCAATCACCCGTTCAACCTCTTCCTGTGTTTTCGTTGAAGTGAGTTGAAGAGGAGAGCTGGTCAAGCTTGTCCCTGTTTGGCTCGCCGGTTTCATCCGGGATTGTTCCGGAACTTTCCACCAATCAAATCAGCTGTCGCGTCTGGGATCCCTTTTTTCCCCTGCCTCTTCCTGGCTATAAAGTGAAAAACAGACACCCTCCGTTCAAGCTGGGTTCTCGTCTGAATTCAACGCTACCCCGAAAATCAATCAGAAAATAGCAATCAACCTAGTAATTAGAACAAGATATTCGATCTGTCTCGCATCGCACTGGCGAGATTTTCGTTGGTCCTAAATCCCCCCGCACTTCGTAAATGTTCCTAATTGTACTCGGATCCAGGTCCCAACTCTCCGCTGCATTGCGCTTTGCATATTTCTGCGTTCGATATCTGTGCTTCTACATGGTCTGCACCCATCTCGTTCTGGTGGCAGTGTGGTCCAGAGGACTGGAACAACGAGTCGGTTTCTCCCTGGAAAACCAGGAGATTTTATCGTTGCCAACTAAGGTATATTAGATCACGGCCGGACTTGTGGCCTCCTTTGTGCTCACTCTCTTGTCTCTGCCATCCTCACTCTTGATTACTACGATATTCCTATCGACGGGATCGGAATCCTGCATACAATATGGCTGTACCGCAACCAGCCAGAGCTTGAGGTGTTTCTGGAACAAGTGAAATGTCGCACCAATCAAAATCTAGTGCGAGGCGGGACTGGTACGGACGAGGCTAGTGGGAGGGCGGCTCCGAAAGCAGAAGAGTTTGTGTTCTAGCCAACTGTTTAGACCGGAAAGTTAGCGTCTTCATAGTGGGATGAGAATTCACCAGAACTTCTGTTAAAAGCCAGACCGGGGATCGTGTTAGCCTGTAACTGAGTGGGAACAGCTATAAGCATTTTGTACTGTACTATTACATTCAATTCGACAGGGTGGGTGATGTGTGACATGTTGAACATATTCGACACTTCGACAGGGGCCACGTTGGACCGTGACAACCCCCAAAATTCGAAACCATCCCACAACAACGCGGGGACATTGTGGATTCATTTGGGGCTTTTTGCGGAAGCAGGGAAAGCATGGCAAATATTAGTTTAAATTAATTGTCTCGGGAGTGGTTCTCCCAGTGATTTTGTCAGAGTTTATTGTGTTTAGGTTTCTATGGAGGTAAAAATTGACCAAAGACAGAAGATTTAGCCAGCCTCGATGCAGGAGATGTACAAGATATTTATTTTTGGCTTCTCGCTGCTGAAAGACAATTTTTTAGAATTTTGTGACATTGAACCTATTCGACCACTACCCCTGTGATGTGTGACAAACAACCAAAATTCATATTCGACAACCCCCCTGTAACACGTGACTGTCGAATTGAATGTAATAGTACAGTAGTTGAGAAGTTGAACCCAAGTTGAAACTTAAGTTGACTGTGATATGGTCTATTTGATCCGACTTTGGCCAAGACAGCAAGGGCGTGGCTTTTGAGGGTTGATTTATTCTATCGCGGAGCCAAAACAGATAGTGACCGGGGTCTGAGATTAAAATTTTTCGTTCACACAGTTCCATTAGTGGCGGTATATCCAAGGAGCTCACATGAGAGCCGCGTCGTGTCCGACTGCAGCAAACAAGCATACACTAAGTTACAAGTACAATTTGAAATTTAGAGAAGGAATGTGGACCGCCCACCAAAATACTGCCACCGAAATCCTGTCATTTGTGCATACCCACATCCGACGCAGAAGAAAACTGCAAAGACGATGAGAAAATCTGTCTAAGGCTGGTCAAGAATTCCATAGGATTCATGATATCGCGTCTTACATATGCCATCTTTACAACCATGTAGTTGTTTCCGTCTCTTTATGTGATGCGAACACATCGAGACATGCAACCAATTCATCGTCGTGCACCAAATGCAGTTCTTGCCGTTCGCTTTTGTTACGATAACACTCCTAGTCTCTGTGGTCATGACTCGCCCTGAATGTCAATCACGGAGGAGGGTCTACTGTACATTCCCTCTGCAAGCTTTATCCTGTGGCTTTCAGCCATTCCATATTCGACAAGCCCATCATTTCGGTCGAGTGCTAGCTTGCCTACAGATATCATGTGCCATGCATATGTACCTGTACAGTTGATTCATGTTCGCTGGGTTCTGAATGAACAGTAAGGATATTACAGCTAATGACAGTACCAAGGGCACGAACGAAAAAAAATACATTTTGAGTGTTTTTTGATCCCCACGAAAGAATTGTCGATAATGCCCTCAATTCTGCGCAGAATAAGTTGAGACCTAGCTAATTCTTTCAGAATATCTCGTGCACAATTAATCATAGAGCCAGAATTGCAATAATCCTTTATTCTGAGTCTCCTGGCTGTTTGAGCCCTCTGCTGGGCTAAGTTGGTACAGTATCCCCAGGACTTGTCCAATCGAGCCAATATTTTGGGAGGGACTACTTGTGGGTGGTACGCAACTTGTCATAGAGCCATATAAACGTATCTAATTTATTGGCTACGCTATCTCACTCAGAGTGATTCTAAGATAGGAAATAATGAAATCTATGTATCTAGCTAAGCTCTAAACCGAATCACTTCGAAAAATAACACAGGACTACACAGTTGTATCCCCTACATTGGTGCTAAGTTGAATCCATGCAAAACATGTCCCAGAACACTACAGCGATATTCAGTGATGTGACCACGGTGACTGGTGACACGGGACACATTTATATAATTAGTGCTCTGGGATGTGTTTTGCGTCTTGAATAAAAATTGTCAGTCACCACAAGTTGCAATCTGATGATGAGCCAACAATCATCTATAGGCCGCAAATGAGTTGTTCCGGCTCCCCTTGAACATGTCACTTCCTTATTGGGACCTTCCTCCGAAGTAACACATCCGAAGAATACGCAAAATGTACATGGCACTCGTGGACCCCCACCTCACGCACAGCTGCGAAGTTAGCCTCGATGTAGATCTGGATCTACTAAAGCCACTTGAAGATGTACAGGCCGACTTCCTTCGACGCGTTTTAGGTGTTAACAAGTGGGCAATGCTGGCACCCTTGTTCACAGAGACTGGTTTAGTACCGTTGCGTTTCAGGCGAGTCACGCTAGCGCTGGTACACCTGAAATATCTCGCGGGCTTGAAAAAAGTCAGATATGTCAAAGTAGCCGCGGATGATTCGGTGTCCCTCTCGGATTCCGGCATCGCGTCCTGGGCAATGGATCTCCGCTATGTGGTCCATCAACTGCCCTTCAAAATAACGTTGCCGAATCTCGCAACCATCACACCGCTGATGATTGACGGGGTTATTAAATCCGTGAATGCTGGTCTTCGAGCGTACCTTCAATGGTCGATCGATGACCCCAACTCTCCAAAATTGTATCTTCTGCGAGGAAGACTGGAACCAGAGAAAGATAGTCCACCCACACATAAGACACTGCAATTCCGGCACTACTTGAATGTAACCAACCCCCAGCATCGGAAAGCACTTACACGTCTATTGCTGTCGAGCCACTGTCTCACCCTGGAAATTTTATGCTGGGTTGAACTTCGCCGCCCGCGAATTGACCGAAATTTAGGAGTCTGTCGATTCTGTAAAGCCGAGATCGAATCTCTGGAACATGCGCTATTGGAGTGTACACATACTGACCTCCTTACGCTCTGGAATGATTTTCTTGCGCGAATGAAGAAAGATATACCTGGACTACCGCCCCTGAGTTCCATGCCCTCGGCAAAATTCTTCACGCACATGATAGCTTACAGAACCACAATCTCACTGGTCGCAAAATTCGCTTACAAGGTCACTCAGGTATATGAGGCCACTCCATTATATGTTCCCCCTCGTCCCGTTTGCTGGTTGATGCTACCGCGGCGTAACAATTAGTCTTTATTTTCTACCACTTCGTATTCTACTTTTGATAGGGTAGTTGGGGTCCAAGGCGAAGGCGCGAGGAGCTTGTGCACGCTGGGATAATCTTGGGAACACGGCGTTCAAAGACTGGACCATGTCGTGTATAATTCTATCACTATCACTATCTATCACTCCTCCAAAATACCGCCCTCAGGACCTCCCCGCCCGCTTGTCTGAGCTCATCTGCCCCCTGGCCCAGCTGGTTAAGGTGCACGACTGTTACCATTCTTCCTCTTTTCGAACAGTGTTTCGTAATTTGGATGATAAGCATAAAACCCAACTTGGTTCCCGCTCGGATTCACTGTTACCTAGTGTGAAAGTCAACCCAAAATATATATAACAGCACTTGATTAGTAGCAAGTACTGATGAGATTCGGACTTGTCATCTATGCCGCTACCGTTATTTGTGGGATCGTGTCATTTTCAACTCTCCCAAAATTGTGTCCCCCAGCCCCAGGTCTCCACCATTTGAGTGTTTCATCACTGCTCCCTGGCCCAGCTGGTTAAGGCGCACGACTGTTACTAACGTATTCAACTTTAGTTTCATCGTGAGATCGTGGGTTCGACTCCCCCGGGAGCAGGATTACTTTTATTTTATTTTGACCGCCGCGGCACTCCCGTTTATCTCACACCCGCTGATTAACCTCGGGCTGTTTGCTCGTTGACCGTAACTCTTTATTCTTTGTTTGTTCGTTGACTCTTTGTCCTTTAACCCGTTATTTGTTCTTTGACGCGCTACCCATTGTTTGTTTCTTGAGTGGTTATTTGTTCCTTGACGAGTACGTGTCCCTTGACATGCTGTCCTTTGACCCATCCCTTGCCATGGTAACTTGACCCAAAGTCAAGCCCGCACCCATCCCCTGGCTCAGTTGGATTTGGTGCACCCCCAAGGCTCAAACATTCCAGTCATTAACCATTAACCATTGCCCCCCCTTCCCTTTGCATTAACCATTGCCCTTCCCTTGCCCATTACACTTTTGCATTGCCATTAACCATTTGCCCATTGACGACTGCCCCCCTTCCTGCATTAACCATTGCCTATGCATTTCCGGCCTTGACTCTCGCCCGTGGAGGATCGCGTGAGAAAGACAAAGGCCATGTCTCTCCGCAGTTGATGGGGCAAAAAGCAGCATGGCCGGCTGGTCACTTGACTTTGCCCTGGCCACGCCCCATGGCAAAGTCGGACTTGGCGCCTGGACTCGCGTACCTCGGGATGGACTCGCTCGTGCCCCTGGACCCACCCTGGCCCCACCCTCGTACCTCGGGATGGACCCCACCCCCCGGACCTGGACGGCGCTTGCCCCCTTGAAAAAAACAGGCTTTTCTAGGCCGCACCCCCCAAGGCTCGAACCTTTTCCACCCCCGAAAGCCTCCAACCCCTCCAGGAGATCAAGATCATGGGTTCGACTCCCCCGGGAGCAGGATTACTTTTGTTTTATTTTGACCGCCGCGGCACTCCCGTTTATCTCACACCCTGGGAGTGGGCACCGCGCGGGTCGCTGATGGCCGCTTATATAAGTGCACAGCCACCGAATATCGCGCCGTCACTCACTTCCTCTCAATTAAATGCATGGGTCTCAGTTTTCCCATGCTGACCACATTTATGCCATACCTAAGCAGTTAAAAAGCTATTACAATACAAGAATATGTTCTACTACAGAGAAGAGTGGTATAACTTGGGTATAACTGGCCTTTGAGTGGTCTGTCACGCAGTGTCACGCGTTGTGCATCACCCATAACACTCGACGGCAAGGCGCGTTTTCCAGACGGCACGGTCACTTTTAAAACTCCGCTTCATGGCCACATTTTAGAAAATATGTCGGGCAATGCTTTGTAGGTAGGGATAAGAAAAATATGGAAACATGACTTAAATATGCACTCGATCCTTGCCTTAAAATTGGTTTCTCAAAAATTCTTGTCTACAAAGCACGCTCCATGCAATTATAAAGGACTTTGTCTCTTGACTTTGACTGACCGACGGCTGTGACCGCCGGAAATCGTGCCGGCGTTTCCGCATCAGATTTTGGCAGAGGGCCATGTTATCGTAACATGTGCAAGTAGTTGACAACAGCTACAGGCGGTGCCCACTCCCACACACCCGCTGTTTGCTCGTTGACCGTGACTGTTTATTCTTTGTTTGTTCGTTGACTGTTTGTCCTTTAACCCGTTCTTTGTTCTTTGACGCGCTACCCGTTGTTTGTTTCTTGAGCCGGTTATCTGTCCCTTGATGAGCTCATTATTTGTGTCCCTTGACATGCTGTCCTTTGACCCATCCCTTGCCACGGTAACTTGACCCAAAGTCAAGCCCGCACCCGTCCCCTGGCTCAGTTGGATTTGGTGCACCTCCAAGGCTCAAACATTCCACTCATTAACCATTAACCATTGCCCTTTGTCATTAACCGTTTGCCCATTAACCATTGACCATTGCCATTGGTCATTTCCCATTAACCATTGCCCTTTGTCATTAACCATTGCCCCCCCTTCCCTTTGCATTAACCATTGCCCTTCCCTTGCCCATTACACTTTTGCATTGCCATTAACCATTGCCCTTTGCCATTGACCATTTACCCATTGACGACTGCCCCCCTTCCTGCATTTCCGGCCTTGACTCTTGCCCGTGGAGCATCAGGTGAGAAAGACAAAGGCCATGTCTCTCCGCAGTTGATGGGGCAAAAAGCAGCATGGCCAGCTGGTCACTTGCACGCCCCGTGGCAAAGTTCTGACGACCGGGGAGGGTGGGCGGCTTTTAAGTATCTTTTTGCACGGTGCTGTAAGTATATACATGTACTCACAAACCGGAAAGTGCAACGGCTTCATTATTCGGTGAACAACAGAACCAAAATGGTTTCAAATTCTGCGGTAGAAGTGATCAACCTGATAGTATCGAGTCTAGACACCCTCTCCATTCTTAAACTTACTCTGGGGAGTAGCAACCATGGTTGAGAACGAGCCTAAAACCTTCTGGGCCCCTAAATATCCCAAACACGTAGAAGCGCAGCACTAGCGGCACCGATTGTAGTTCCAGTGGGAGTTATTTTGGTTCCGGCAGTTGTATAACTTTAATGAGAAACCGAAAAAAACCTCAGACCGGATAACGGTCCATATTTTGGCTGACTAATTGACTGGGGAAAAGCAAGACCAATTGATTGCATCACAAATGGTCGATGGTTGAACAAACATAGCTCTTTAAATTTCTCCACTTGGTTGTTTGAGGCAAAACCTTCACTGGGTAAGCTGAGCTAATTTCCTACTGTGTTCCTTCAAGACAATATTCACAGTGGGGGTTGCCGGGAGTATAGTTCTTCCGTACCAAATATCCTCAAACGTGTCATCGGCAGCACGGGAAGGATATCAGTGCTTCACAAGAACCACCAGCAGAGTCGCCTTAGAGGAAGTTGAGCTAGTCTTATAGGAAGAAACCTTTGTAAATTGCTGCGGAAACCTTGATTGAATTTGCATCAACTCCCAAGGGTTATGCAACCTTACAGAGAAATCACTGTATTTCAACTTCTCGTGAAATTTAAAGGCCAAAACAGTCATAGTAAAGAATGCGGGGGGATCCCCGAATAGGCTAGTAGGTTCAGACAATCCTAGACTCGGAGAACAGGTAATCTCGACGAAGAGAGTGCCTCTCGGTTGTCCAGAACTTTGGGGTTCAACCACCCGTTTTTGGGACAAGACCTAGCTGAATCACCGTTTTTGCGCGAGACCTGGCACCGCACCTGGCTTCCGACTGTAGAGTATATTCCGGAGCACTACATTTATGTAAAAGAGAAACCCGACGTGGATAGCAGAATAAAAATCAAGGCATGAGATGTCAATAATATAAACACAAAGGGAATGCTCTACCCTTTTGCAGAACGCCGTGAAACACGGGTGGTCAATTTTAGCCATTCTGTACGCATCGTCGAGATCAATTTGGTCAGTCAACAATTTTACAGCCAAGGACAGTACCGAAGGCGCGACCAAAAAATTTCCATTTTTGGTCATTTTTGATCCCCGCGAAAGAATTGTCTCTAGCTCTCTCATTTTTGGGCGTATCGAGCTGAAAACTAGATAGAACTGATGTACTAATTCATGCGCAATTAGTGATAGAGCTAATTGTGCGAAAATGTTTTTTTTTCGATGGCCTGGTAACTACAGCCCTCCCGCACATGAATGCTGTTTAGTGTGTCCAGGTCACCTCCGATCGGGCTGAATTTTTGGGAGGGGTGATTTGTAGCGTATATCTCGAGCGTGATAGAGTCAGAAATTTCGATTTATGTTTTTCTGGCTGCTGGTGGCTCACTTGGATACATCTCAAATAGGAAATAATGAATTGAGTGTATTTACTTGAGCCCTTGGCCAAAACAGTTGGAATAATCGCTCAGGTCAACTTATCTAACCAACTTGCATTGCGACAAGATCCTTCTGCTAAACAAGGCATGTCTAAAGCATCACAAAGTGATGCAAGTGAGCACAAAACATACATATTTGACTTTGTCTTTGGCAATGAATTGTACATTCAACGTGTCAGATGGGCTATGGCGGGCTCCTATTCAGGTAGCTCAAGAGATCTTGTGACATGATCAGAATCAAAAACTAGGCTCAGGGAGATTCAGAGGGATGATGCTTGAAGCTGGCTGACAGCCTGAGTTCTATCTGCACTCACTAGGTCTTGTTTATGTTGTCTAGCTGCTGCAACACTCCTTTGGTTGGGAATGTACCATATGAGGGAAGGAGTGATGTGATGCGTGTCTGGGTTGTGGCTGCACATGGTAATATGGCGGTGATATGATAGAAGTATTTGATGATGCCGAGCTTTGGACAGGACACGCTGATATTTGTTCTAGAGACGCGTTTTTTTGGCGGTGGGTCCATTTCGCTATAAATGGTGGTCAAATATACTGGCCTGGGTAAGTTTTCTGACTATTTTGACCAAGGGCTCAAGTAGATACACTCAATTGAACGGATCTACGAACGAAGCATGAGGAGGAGATACAACGTTTCTGGAGAGAGCTGGGCGGAAACAGCCGAAGGCCTGCAGCCAAACAGAAGCAAAGCGCTGTCTGTCTGCAGCCACCAACGAACGCCGTACAGACTGCGCGTCTGCCCGACACGCCACCTTCTTTCTGCGTTCGTTTGCCACCCAATTCTGGCTGACCTCGTCTACACTCGGCATTACTCAGCGTTCAGCACTAGGCGAGCTTTCACTACCAGAACCCAGTACCGCATCAGGAGGCTGCTCGGTGCTCGCTGTATCGGATTTTGATTCTCCGGGCTTTTTCAGACCTGACGGTCCCAAACACGCCAAGAACAACCTTTTCCTGGTATGCGACAAGCCGCCAGCATCCGATGTCGTACTGCCGAGCGATGCCCGACAAAGTGGATTCCTCGCAGGGCCAGCATGCACCCGCCGTTTCCGGAGTTGGCTGGCGGTGCTCGCGTGCACCACCGTTGCACAACCACGCCAGCGTGCATCCTGGTCCGCGTATCAGAAGACGGTTGAGGTGCCAGCGTGTGCCCTCCGTTCCGAAGTCGGCTGGTGGCACTCGCGTGCACCACTACTTCAACACTACGCCAGCGTGCGTCCTGGTCCGCG